TTTTAATGTCTATACTCTATACTAATATGTTTATAAAGTTGAAGAGTTCGTTTGTTTATTCGTATGTATGTTTGAACGCGCTAATCTCTGGAGCTACTGGTTCGAATTGAAAAATTATTTTTGTACTGTCTATAGTTTACGCGAGTAGTACACATTTAAATAAAACACTTTAACTTTAAAACGCGATATATTAGTTAAACTTGTTTGGAAATGATTTTTAACTTCGGCCCGACGTTTCGGATGCTTTGCAGCAGCCGTGGTCACGGGGAGACTAAAGATGGAGGATGTCTCTGACGTCAAAGTAAAAAATTGCTACGCCATCTGTTCCGTCGAAGTTGGTATTTGGCGAAACTTAAATGAAACGTCGGGCCGAAGTTAAAAATCATTTCCAAATAAGTTTAATTAATTAAGTTTTATTTAAATTTACTACTCTAAATATAGACAGTACAAAAATAATTTTTCAATTCGAACAGTAGCCAACGCGTTCAAAATAATAAATAAAAAACAACTCTTCAAATAAAATATTAGTATAGAGTATAGATATTTAAAAAAATCGTTAAAACATAGTTTTATAAAATTTACTTTATTTATTCTAGATATAGTAATAGTATGAAACTAATTATGGAGTGAAGTGGTAAGTGGTTTCTGAATTTTGAATACCTGTAAAGTTTAACTAATATATCGCGTTTTAAACCGTTAAAGTGTTTTATTAAAATTATTTTTGTGTTAGGTAGGACATTTATCGAGGAAGGGTATAAAACATTCTAACTATTATAACGCGCTGTCACTAATAGGAGCAAAGAAACAGCGGGAAATATGAAAAGTGGGGAAAATGATTAATCTCGGTGTTGTCGATGTCTACACTGCGAAAACGGTTCGAGATACCCAAAAAAATACGTATGAAAGAATTAAAAAGAAAGATTCCTCTTCAAATGATCTGAAAAAAGTCCGCGACGCTATGTCTATCTTTTAAGATTAACTTGCAACAACGACGGGAAGGGACGCGACCGTCGTCGTGTGTAACAACTTAAGTTTATAAAGATATAAGGATTTGCAAAAAACAGATTTGGATGCCCAAAATAACGATTCTCGCGGACGTAGTCGCCGACACAGCTACTACATGTATATATTTACAAATAATTTATGTATAAAAATTTATTAAATAATTTTTAACAAATATAAGCGACTTAAAACAGTGAACTAAAAAAAAATATTACTTCGCACCAGGTAATACGTATTTTGCTTTATTTAAACAGAAATGATTTTCAAGTCGGTTGATTTTAAATAAATAATAATTAAAAAAATTTTAAATCACGAAAATAATGTATATGTTAGCGAATAGACTGGCACAATCATCACGCTTCTATCGCAGTCGGGTAAACATATGCCCCACTAGCAACGCTATAAAAAGTAATCTGACGTAGTGTCTTTTTGTTTTGTACGCTTTCAAACAGCACGCATTTTTATTAGAAGAAAATATGTGGAAACCGATGCGGTGTATTGTAATCGGAAACGGAAATGGTTGTTTGGTGATACATGCGTATTGTTTCACAGGTGCCATGTATTGCAGAGGCGCTCCACATAAAGATTGCGTTACAATTTCTTAGCTATCTATATCCAAAGCTAACATACAACCAGTTCATTATGATTGGTGAAAAACGTACCCATTAAAAAAACTACATAAGACAAGACAAAACTATTTCTGAATCTTAAGAAGTAACATTTTATGATATATACTTTGCTAAAGACGCGCGAAATCTACTAAATCATCGGTGAGTTTATAAATAATTTATTTAAGTTAATTGTTCTCTATTGCAGATATCAATAATGCATTTTTAACGATAAATGAGGACAAGGGAATATAGATCCAGCCAGGTCTAACAAGATAAGCTGTCGACTTATTTTGTCTTAGATACTCGAAAATTCACAGATTGAAACCGAAACGTAAATAAACTTATATATCTGTGGTCGGTGGATTGTGATTTGGGCGGAATTTTCGACATTAGTACCAACATGTTTCAGAAACAATGTACCTATTAGAAAAATGTTAGGCCCGTCGGGGATCAAACCATCCACCAACCAGATCCACGAGCCCATCAAAAATATCGTACGTAATAAACACATACATATTTCATACAAATGTTGTGATGCGTAGAAAGGAACGGCGACGAGTGACGCACTTCAATCGACTATCATCAATCAATAAATAAAAAGTTGACGTTCGGGCATTAATTAATTATTAAAAGTTTTCGGTTTTTGAGTTTAAAAAAAAAGAATTCATTTGAATTTTGAATTCTGTTACCGTTTTTTCCTCATTCGAATGCTAAATAAAAATCGGTTATACTGTATTCATTTAAATAAAACTCTTTAACGGTTAAAAAGAACCTTATTGAATTTTTTTAACAACCGCCCGACGTTTCTGTCCCCCCGTGACAGCGGCTGCTGCAAAGCATACGAAACATCGGTCCGTAGTTATAATAATTTTCAAATAAGTTTAACGAATATATATCGCGTTTTAAACCGTTTAAGTGTTGTTTGTCGCGTAAACTACCGACTGTACTGGATCCGATGTTCGGATAAATTGTATTTTTAAGTAAACTGCTAAACATAACACTCCAAGTATACTAAATGTATTATTAACGAGATTATTTTTGCCGCCCGTTTAAAAGACAAGATACAGGATCAATAACTTTTACAGTACAATGCACTTTCAAATATTATCACGGCATTAACTTTGATATGTTGTGACGTTTAGCGTAAGAGCTGAATTAGGGTTTCCGTTGACAGAAATGGGTATAGTGAAAGAGACGCAAGTATACCAATATTGTAAAGCTTAAGAGTTTGTTTGTTTGTTTGAACGCGATAATCTCGGAAACTATTGGTAGTCGTATAGATCAATTATTGAGGAAAGCTTTAGACTTATAACATCACACTGTGACCAATAAGAGCGAAGAAATGGTGGAAGAATACAAAAAAATGTATGATAGATTGAATTATCTCTTAATCTATAAAAATCAGGATATCTTTTTACTTATATGAGAAAAATTAATTATTTTGATACCCAAAATAATTAATTTAATATAAGAAAAGAGCAAAAAAGGGCAATGCCAGTATTGAAATGAAAAAATAAATTAAACTACAGAGTACACATACGAACGTTAATACAATATAAATGGCAAAGAATTCAAAATTTAAGTGAAACACATTTAAAGATTACATATCGCATTCTTTTTATAGACCAAATATTTATGCAAAAATTTAGTTAGCCAGACTATTTTAACTATTATTAGACACTCTCCAGTCTCTGTTTGTATTCATTACGATCCTTTCTATTTAATGTTCGAAAACTTTTAGCAACTTCGTAATCTACAGCTTAGCTATTGTTTTTGCGAGTGACTCTTACACTACGTACGAACTACATGACAAAGGTCGCCGCCGGTCAAAAACATTCTACTTAGTTTCAATCGTAATTCGCATTTCTAAGTCAAATTGACTTGTTTTAGAAGGTGACTTAATTGGGATATATTTAAGAGGACAGCGTGGGGTTCGCTCGATGGTAGGTGACCCCAGCCTATAGCATCTGAACAAGATGCGCTGTCGACCTTTTTTGGCTTTCAGAAAATTTATAAATCCAAAACTATAAAAAACACGTTGGACCCGGCGGGGTTGGAACTCACAATCCGTTGATTATTAGCCATACATTGTATGCCTGACGATCCCGTCAAAAGATTATATTAGTTGCCTTTTTGTGCTAAGCGAATCGTCCGGGGTTCAAATTCATTAATGCTATTTCTATATATCGACTGTTAACGGCCTATATGAGACTTCAGCTGATTTGAAATGTGGTATGTATTTATCAGGGTTAAGGATAGGATCATCATTATTTAACGCGTATTTTTCCGATTATTAATAATTTAATTAAAGCAACTGTTTTTTTTACAAAATTAATGCAACTATATTAAATATCACGTTTTTACTCATTCCTGAAAAATCATCAACAAATAGGAGGTCGTGTCGTGTTAGTATACAATACGACATATCGACGTATATTAGTATTTATACACGATGCCTTTAATATTTTCTAAGCACCAAATAACGCCTCTATAATCAAGCAGCTGCATAAGAGCAAAGTAACAGTGGGAAGTGTGGAAAAAACGGGGAAAATTATTCATCCCTGTGGGTTTCCGTTGCGTACGCTGCGAAAACGGTTCCAGAAACCCAAAAAAATATGTTTGAGAGAATGATTGATCTTTAAGTGATTTAAAAAATAATCGCGACGTATCGACATCTTGGATTGGAACGTGGATACTTGAACGGGAGGTTTGCAAAAAACAAATTCGATTCCCAAAATGACAATTTTACGCGGACGAAGTCGCGGACACAACATATGCATACATAAATACTATGTGTAGATGTATTCTTCCCAAAAATACGTAGGTACATTGTGCGTTCAGAGTACTCTTAAACCGAAACGTCGACATCAAACTGCTTCCGTCAATACCCGTAAAAGGTTTTCTTACTATCGAAATATATTGCTTTTTCGTGTACCTCACCGTTTGCAAACTGAGCTTCAACCAATATTAGCAGATAGCCAGGTTACTATAGACTATTGATAGATATAAAAATTGGACTTTGACTATCGATTGTTATTTTCACTACTGTTTCAAGCCAAAGCAGATCGACAGCACATCAAGTTTAGATGTTTTACGGCTTAGGTACTTTACCTTACATCACGTTAATTTTCATGCATATCTGTGCTCCCTCTACCATAAGAAAAGAACATGGGACAAACTAGTTGAGTGTTATGAGATTAGTCTTTTGTATGCTTTCGGTGCAAACACTCCAGCTGTCCACTGGGATTTGAAACTGAGTCATGCAGGCGGTAAGATGAAAAGTAGGTAAACCATTAACTTAACTAGATATGAAAATTATTATCTTATCCATTCTTGATTACAGTGTTCATGACAGTCTGACAGACATGTTTGGTTCCATGTACATACCTTCTGCTTTTAAAAACTCGTAGAAACCTGTGAAAAATAAAAAAACACATGAATATTTGTCAGCATTTTACAAAATTGTCATCATGAAATTTTCATGTAATATTAACCTTTAAAATAAAACACTAACGGTTTAAAACGGAATATATATTATTTAAACTTATATGAAAATTACGACCCGACGTTTCGGATACTTTGCAGCAGCCGTGGTAACGGGGAGATTAAAAATGGCGGGTTTCTCTGACGTCAAAGTAAAAGACTGCTACGCTAGCGCCACCTGTTACGTCAAAGTTGGTATTTGGCGAAACTGGAACTGCAAGGAGCCGGCCAGTTTCGCCAAGTAAGTTTAACTAATATGTATGGAGTTTTAAACCGTTAGTGTTTTATTTAAAAGCGTACTACTCGCGTAAATTACAGACAATATTTAATATTAACCTACCCAAATGTGTAGTATGGATAAACTAAAAAGCATTTGCACAACTGTTTACACTTAATTTTGTGTCAAACTTATTCATTGATAGTTTAAACTTTGAGCGTGGTAATCAAATCAATGTGTTTGCTAAATGCGAAGCTGAAATTTTTTGTGAAAAAGCTGTACTGTGCTTGCACGACTTGCTATAGGTATACTTAATTAATTAAACACGTCTCACTAATTAAAAAAATCTTTAATACATAAATTTATTTTATAATTTAATGATCGTTATAATGATGATAACTTATGTATGAAAACTTTATTATTTTTCACATGTTATTGCACATGAAGGCACTATATAATTTAAAAATCGAAAATAAATTGAAAACATTTTCGACTTGGGCAGGACTTGAACCGGCATCGTCAGCTTTCCGTGCTGTTGCTGCTGACGATGCCGGTTCAAGTCCTGCCCGAGTCGAAAGTGTTTTCAATTTATTTTCGATTTTTAAATAACTTATGTAGTTAAGATAAATGTTACAATAAAATAACTCAAGTCTGCAGTTGACGCGAATAGTGAGTACTATTAAATAAAAAAATTAACGGTTTAAAAGTGTTTTTGTAGACATGTAGAATTAACGTTGTAATTTGGGTCTTTGTGTGTGACTGATTCCACTGCCGCGAGGTGCAAGACTGTGTCTATTAAAACTATCTTGTTTCCCCCCTTCAGCTGGACTAAGTACTAGTAGCACTAAGATTGAAAGTCCCCATGCATCGTACATATCTTCACCATATCCAAGTCTTCACGCGTGCATAAAAATAAATATTTCGTTTATATTAAACATGTTTCAGTTTGGAGCACACAAGTAATGAGTGAGGCCAGGGCTTGAGTGATTCGTTAGCGGCTAGCTTTAATTGCAGGTACGGTCTACAAATAAACTTTGAAAAATATTTTTTTTCGCGTCACAAAGAAGTCTTTGCAAATTATTTCAACGATTCCATTTATCGGCATCCAATTCAAACGCATGAAAGACATGGTTTTGTTTCCGACATAAATGCGTTTAATTTTAAAATTAAATTTTTCCATTTTCACTTCCCAATTAGTATTTAAATGCTTCCAAATTGAAACAAGCAAAATGTTAATTTACGTATTACGTTTCATTGAAAGCAAAAAGAGTTAACTTTGTAAATAAAATGTTTCTGCTGACGGTACTGTAGTGGACGTTCCATTACACGGTTTAAAGTTACGAAATCATAAAGCAAAGTGGAACGGGACACAATTATCGCCTAGTGCGTGTGTAAACATACGTCCACCGTTAGCTACAATTTAATTTTTTTACAAACACAAAATATATATTTATTTTACGCAATTTAAACCAGCAATTTGAAAAATATCGTCGCTGACGCATGACGTTTCACTTCATCATACTATTAAAATACTGACTAAGTTATTTTAATGGTAATCTCAAATTGTATTGGTTTTATTTTTTATTATTTTCGTAACTATTCTGCTCTTCGCAAAGATAAAGATATTAGCGCTTTTAAAATGACAGACAAATATGACGTCCACAATATCGAAGCTGAAAAGCCCCAGCCATATAACATCTATATAAGTTGAGCAGTCGACCTATTTTCGCCAACAAATGTCTAAACATTCGCAAATTCACAGACTAATTAAAACGCGAATTTACACTTCCCTTTTTGATCTGTGGCTTGCGTGACTTCTTGCACCCATTAATATGCCGATTTTCAAAAGCAGGTAACACAAAAGTATCAGAAAATTTGTTACAATCATGTTGCACCCCCAGGGAATAGAATCTACAACCTGCCATACCAACTAATCAGTCATTGTAATAAGACATACAGTGTCTAGCGAGCAACAATTTAATTTAAGTAATCCCAACTAGAGCTAGACTTACTCATAATTTTCCTAAATGCGTCATTATAAAATGAAAATGTTACTTTTAATTTCCTCCAAAACTAATCCACTCTGACATTTTCCAACAAGAATTCACGTAAGTGCTCTAGATTCGAGTTCAACACACCGTTTTCCTTCAATATGTAAATAGAAATAACTTTTAAAAAATAAAAATCAACATACGACCTTTTATGCCGATCGTACTGCTAGTTTAAAAGAAGTTAAACTTTGGGTACGGGTGTTAAGGCTTATTTTTGACAGCGCCCATCGAAAGATTCTTAATGTAACACTCGTGGTGGAAGTTAAGAACTTTATACCGAGTTGCATTTGGCAAGTAACGATGGTAGGTTTAAAGACAAAAGATATGCAAGTCTTGAATATTTTTAAATAAATAGATTTAATATTTCAGTAGATATTGTACCTGGAAATACTCTGCTTTGTCCGGGAAGGCTAATCATTAACATTTAACAGTGAAACGGATACAAATATAAGTCTCCAACATGGATCTCGTAGGGACCTCCAAGAATTTACTAAACTGTTTTCGAATTAAAAAAAAAACACGGTTTAAGTGTATGGATTATATATAAGACAGCACATAACAAATATACATTATTTTCATTACCAATGCGGTTTTTAATGTTTACTCCACCTTTTTCCTTCCAAATGAATAGTTAACTTCATTCTTGGATAACCATCACGAAAAATGTAAGCGTTTATTATCGCTATTTCTTTCTACTTGTACCACACTCCCGCCTACCAGGGGTAAAGCTGAACTCGTAAATATGTCGGGTTTATAGTTGCGCACCCCTGCCCGGGGTTGCACGACTGGGGTGCTACGCTGCCGGTCTTAAGTCCTATCATAACTGACAAGCGATGATAACAATCGAGTTAGCTTCGAGACGAGTCGTCGCGGTACTAAAAAAGTTAAGTTTAGTTAGTTACCTTTAATACACGTAGTAGAATTTGGGTGGTTATATACTGTCTATTGTTCACGCGAGTAATACACATTTAAATAAAACACTTTAACGGTTTGAAACGCGATATACATTAGTTAAAATTATTTTCAAATAAGTTTAACTAAAATATATCGCGTTTTAAACCGTTAAATATTATTTAAATGGTAGGAATATTGAAATTCCGTCCGGGTCACAAACTACAAAGAATAAAAAGCCTTCAAGTTTAGTCGCGTTTCGGTTTCAGCCTGTGGATTTCCGAATATCCAAAGCCAAAATAGTTCGACAACACATCATGTTAAGACGTTATATGACTGGGGCTCTTTACATACCAACCAGTGAAACTCGTGCTTGTCCTCTATCACCCAAAAAAATACTCCCTAATCCCTCCGTCTATCATTAGGTTACGTGCTCCTCCGTAACGCATTACGACGCGTAATCCAGTAAGAAGCCCAACTTGTATCGCTGGTTAAAGAGTCTGTTTGATAAGTTGCGCTATCAAAAAACTTATCGAACCAAGAAAATTAATAAGTCAATATGAACCACCTTTGTGGATCAAGTTGAACAGTATCTAGAGTTAAGCTAAGCTTAGTTCCACAGGTCCTGGGTTGTAACACCGGTGAAATAATCTGTTTCGGTCCACCAGGGCACAAAAGTGAAATCTCAATTACTAACCTGTAATTTTTTACAACAAAGATTTTGTTTGTTATTTTCACTTGCGTATGGCACCGCTGTCCACACTCTACGGACTTACTGAAAATCAGATTCAGGTCAAAAAAGACCTCATATAAGATGAGTAAGATCCTATCCTACCAACTAGCACACAACATTACTTTAAACTCTTAATATTAAGTAATACTGTTGAGATTAAATTATGTTTTGTTTTTTGTTTTATTTTAGTAATAAGTCTCAAATATGTTTTTGTGTGTTATATTAGTAGTCATAAATTTCTTTTTATGGTTAGAAAGGGGGAGGGGGGGGGGGTTTTTTTTTTTTTTTTTTATAAATAACTAAGATAAATATATATATATAATAAGTTACAATAAGTCATAGATTTGTCTACCCGTAATTTTACTTTAAGTAACATTAAACCTAAAAACGTGCCGACAAAAGTAGAGTTCGATCGATGTAAATGAGTCATGATCAAATGAGTTAGTTCTTTGAACATAGAGGGAAAGAAATTTCATGTTTCCCGAAGCGAGGCATAAAAGGGATAAGCCGATTTTGGCCAGTCGGGTAGTTTAAACTTTCTTTAGGTTTCAGCCTTCAAGCGTGCAGTGTTCAAGATTCCGTATAAAGCCTGGAGTGCTGCATCCCTTTGCCTCGCGAATCTCTATATCGTGTAAGGATTAAATTACGGAAATAAGTTTTATCCTTAGGTAGGCAACATAAAAAATATATGTAAAGCTAGCTAATAGGTTTTGACGCGTTGATTTTACCATATCAATTATTTGTGATTAATAGGAGTGAGGGGTGGAGAAGGGGGTAAGATAGGAGGGTAATATTTAAGTTAAACGTGAATTATGTTTAACTTAAATTTTTATGAAAAAAAAGTATAAAGCAAATATTTACTCTTAGATTTGATAGGTTCTGAGTTGCCCTCCGATTTCGTTTACCATTCAAGACGGACTCGTTGGTCACTAATGGTAGCAATATATGGCTAAATGTAAATAAATAATGCGCTGTGTGTTGGATCCCCACCGGGTCCACGAACTTTTTAATCAATTCATAACTCTTTTTGAAGAAACAT